GGCTGGCTTCTTTCCCACCCGAGCCCATCATGAAGGGTGCCCCTCCCAACACTGCGGTGCTCGCTCTGCAAGAGCGGAAGCAAGGTCTCTGCTCCACCCGGGAAGAGCACAGCTGGATTACAGGGCAGGCAGGAGCTGCAGATACGAAATCTCACATTGTTCTCCAAGAGTCTCCCAAGTGCCTAAACCGATTTACGTCCTTTGCAACTAACACTCCAATCATGGACATCTGAGTTAATATTGGGATATCACTTGTTTTTTCGCCATTTTGTGATGAGGATATAGTGATCCCACATGGAAATACATGCCTTTTCCCCAAAGGCAAAGTAATGAGTATGAACGAAACTTTCTGACATGTGTGCATGCACAAGAAACGTTGCTCTGGAGAGTTAGAGACCTTTTTCTTGTAGTTTTCAAACTTAAATTAAATTTACACACTTACTCACCTATTGAGAATACATTAAGAAATAATCTATTGCATATCAAGTGATGGCCCAATTGAAATCAATTTTCTTTATGTTTTTACTGTACCTTTTTATATTATGATTCAGGGGACTAAAAATAAAACATAACTTTTTATTAAGAAAAAAACCAGGAGGGGAAATTTCAAAACAAATTCAAGTATTACTACATGTTAATTACCAAGACTTCAATCACCCCAGATAACAGTACCTGGTCTGAGGTAGTCCGAAACTAGTTCCCACACCAACGCGAGGTAGAGAGTTCACCACTTTCCTTACTGTGGCGGAGTCTGGGAAGTTGAACATTACAGCAACTACAAGAGAGTTTTAAAAATCAGAATATGCTGACATCCTTTTGGGAAACCTGACTTCTTCATCAATGCAATATTCACTCTTGTGCAGGTATCTTAAATATACTTGGTGCTATGTTCTAATGTTATCATGGAAATATTCTACAGGTGTATAAGTTTCAGTCAAGGACTCCATTGCCATACACAGGAGTTTCAACACAATTACAGAAAAGCTAACAATTATCCCATTGTATAACATGAAACCGAGATTATATAGTGACAACTGTGAATATGCATATTCTATGCTGAGAACTCCAATAAGTGGAATTTTCAGAACTACTTAAATTAAAATTTACACACTTCCACACCTGCTATTAAAAGCTACAAACGTAGCTTAGAAATAATCTAGTGTATATCAAGTAATGGCCCAATCAATTCTCTTTATCTTTTTACTTCACATATTAATGTCAACCAGAAACATTTGTGTCTTGAAATAAAGTTTTTCTCTATGGCTTTTAAGCAAACTTAAAATGCTTTCTAATAATTTCTATTTAGGTAATCGTACATGGACAAGAGTATCAAGAAGCATCTAACAATAAAATACATTTGATATGTTAATTTCAAGTCATATAAAATACCTACCTTTAAGAAATGATAGTCATAAACTAATGAGAAACTCTAAGATATTAACTTATTTGGTCTCACTAACACAGCACCCGAATCTACAAACCCTCGAAGGGGGTCTTCTGCTTGGTCAGAAAAAATCAATTTGTAACAAAATTAACTATGTTGCTGTTGCTTTTAAACAATGGAATTATTAACAAGTCTTAAGTAAGCAGGAGACCGCTCACTAAGCACATACAAAGGATTCTGAAACGTCATGTCATGTAATGTTGAAATAAGGCTTCCTTATGCACCCACCAGTATGTTCAATATGGAGGACAGATGAAAGAATAAGCCACTGTAGGCTATGTCAGAAGACCCAGGCTGATGGGACCTGACAGAAAACACACAAGAGTCTTCGGTGTTCCAAAGAAGGAAAGAGAATGAGAATGAGCAAGTGACGCAGGGGGCAGGTGACCACCACTGAAACAAAGTATAAAGTAACTCATCCAGAACGATGCTTGCACTGGTGGAAAGTTCTGCAGGTTTCAGAGAAGCTTATGAAAATGTCCACTAAATGTGCTTGTGCTCTCTGTGAACCCCTCCATGATGGGGGGTGTGTGCATATGATTATGTTTTCTGTATAGATCGAAACACGGAGAGTGCAGAAGGAACAAACAATAGACACCCGCCTACGTATATATGCGAGAAACGGAACACAGATACCAAGTTTGTGCAATTCTACTCATATAAAACAATTTCCTTCAAGCTCAACATCTCCACCCATCCAGTCCTGATGCATCTCATAAGGTTCCATTTTAAATCCACAACAAAACTTTAGCTCAACTTTTAAGACAGGACAACTTAGTATCATTTTCTGACTTTTTAAATAAATAGCAATAATTTAGATAAAAGATACACATGAATCATTTGATTATATTCTCTTGTCCCCATATGCTGCCACTTATTAGAAGTAATCAAGGCAATGCTGAGGACAAGAAAACTCCACAGCTGATTCAATAGTAAAATCATTGTTGATTTGTATTTATAGAGCATTGCACCAATTCGTGAAATAGTCAGGGAAACAAAAGAGCTACAAATAATTCAAAAAGTGATGGGGAGGGGGTAAAAATCACATGATGAGGGGTGAGTGTAAGAGTCGAGGTCAACAGGGCAGAGGATAAAACTGTAGATCCCATGTAAATAGAAACAACACGGTGTGTCCACCAAGGACACCCCAAACGGGGCAAGCCAGCTTCCAACAAGGCACTTCTGCAGCATCTTACCTCTGTTTGCCATGAAGATCTCCAGGGCTGTATTTTGCAAAAGATAACGACGAGAAAAGATTGATCTTATCTCTGTGAACAGCCATTTTCCATGCAGGCCTTCTGTATATGCCAAGATCTAGTGAGAAAAGGATAAGCCCAATTAAGTCACAGAGTTCCATTCTGTTACTGTGGTTTCCCTCCAATTAACATATAAAAGGCTCTATTAAGAAAAACATTTTCTAAGAAAAATAATTTAATAGGTAATGAAACAGTTTGAAAAGAAAGGAGGAAATGCATTGTAATCCGTGAAGAAAGTAACTTAAAAAAGTAGAGTGAATTTATTAAATCTCTTATTACAATTATATATTTGGGCTTTTCAAAAAAAGTAATCTATTCTCAGGAAGCCCTATTAACTGACTACTTTTAAAATCTTATTAGAGAAACTAAGTTTCATATAAAACTTCAAAAGTAAGAATTCAAAAGAATATGCTTTTGACCAGTTATAACAAAGGATTTTACATATGTGATTGTAATTTGTCCAGTGGTGTCTTTTACCTTTTATTTTAGTTCACCACTCTCAAATATTTTGAGGTCATTGGTAAGGCCAAAAAAAAAAAAGGAAAACACAACGATCAACTGTATAAGGCAGCGAGTATAGTTTAGCCAGTCAAAGCTAAACATAGCCTGCAAACATGCTCAGTGTGCCTCAGCAGCGTGGGGCTGTCCGAGTAACTTGTTGCAACCCTTGTCATCCCCTGTGACAGACACACTTGCTTAAAATGCTTTGCAAGTCCAAGGTAGTCCTGTCTTTAGTTCTAAGCCACTTTGTTGCTTTGTTATTCAAGGTTTGTTTTCAAAAAAGATCATTTAAAAAGCTTAATTATGAGAGTCTGAAAAAAAGTCAGATTCAACACTTCTCCAAGAAAATCAAATGCCATTCTTATCAAAAGCTCATCAAAATCTATGAGGGCAATTAAGTTAGAAGTTAAGATACATCTCAGTAAAGCAACTCCCACTAAGAAATACAAATGAACAAACCTGTAACTAAGGTACTGCATGACAGGGACAAACATAAACTATGCACAGAGCAAAATCATGGCTCACAGTGACTCACCCTACACTCTACCCTTCGCTCATTTCCATCTCCCAGAGCTGAACTACAAATGAATCTACATTCTTCTATGCAAAATGCAGGTTCTTAGAAATTAAAAAAATAAACAACTTACTTCATTCAGTTATTTTTTTCTTTTATATAGAAAGTAATCTATTTCTGGTCCATGAGAAGTTAGAAAACAAATATAATTTTGAAAAGTACTATAAAAACTTCAAAGACCCAGACAAGTACTCATTCTGCAATGTAGCAACAAATGTACTTCTCAGTTCCATGACTACTACAGGAGAAAGTCAAGAGAAAGAAAAGGTGTAATGAAGAAGGATCAGGTTGGGGTTGGTTTGTTTTTTAACTCCTTGTCGACTTCTCTGCCTGGAACTCCTTAACTCCTTCTCTGACTTCTCTTCCACACCTCAAGGCAGACCTACTGTCACAGCTGGAGCGCTGTTCCTTTGTGATGTCCCAGGCAAAGCCAGCCTCTCCACGCTGGTCTCCATGGTACTGCCTATCCTCTCAAGTGGTAACACGTGTTTGCCTAACTCCCGCCTCTCCTGCTTTAAAGGGCAGAATCTAAGTTTTGGTTCAGGAAAACCTGCAAGTATATGCTCTCTGCAACCTTAACAATACCGCACAGAGCAGCGCTGTGAAATGACTGACGGAAGCCTGGCAGCCTGAGCCCACACACGGCGCCAACTGTCTCCTCCTCCTTCCTTTCTTTCTTTCTTTTCTAGTGGGGGAGGGGAACACACATACTATCATACAAGAACTTTGAGCAGTGGGAAATATTGAGAAAATGGCTCTGTAGATAAACACTCAGTTTTCTGACTTACTAGGAAAAGTAAATAGTAGTATTTCCTAATTTAAAGTAAATATTCAACATTTCCTGTTGTCGCCTAGTTTCTATGCATGTGAGTTTACCACACTGGATTTGCCAAGTGTTAAGAATATATTATGCATATTTTTATAAACTTGTAACAATATATCTAATGATTCTGCTCCTAAGTAAAATGTGACGTGCTAATAACATGTTAAATAGGAAAACAAACTCTGCCCTCAAGTTAGTGGCAGGGTCTAGCTTCCTCCAAGTTCTCAAATCCCAAAGTCCAGGTGTGTCCTTCAAGTCCATACTGTCACGCTCTTCAAAAGCATGCTGCACACCTGTCATCCCAGCACCCAGAAGGCTGAGGTGTGGGAACTGGGAATTTAAGGCTTCTCTGGCCTACAAGTCAAGATCTGTCTCTAAAGAAAAAGGGGTTGGGCTTAAACTAGAATTTGATTCATTGGAAACTAAATAAACTACATTTCTTGTCCTTTATTCAGATTAACATTGAAAGAAGAGAACCAAAATAAACAACAAGAATCCCCTAAGCACCGTGACATGCTAGAAGTACTGTATAGCGGTGCAAAACTTCCATGTTTCCTAAGCACAGAAACCTCTGGTCCAGCCGACTGCTCACGGCAATGATGCCAATGCTGCAGACATGGCCACAGCCAGTTACTGCCTTTTAGACTCTCCACCCATACCAGAAACACGTAGGCTAAAACGCTGTTCTTAACATTTTAATATATGCAGGTAGTTCTACGTTAATCAAAAATTTCCTGCATACCCTACTGTGACTTAAAGAGTGTGGTTATTTCAAAAGTCTACCTAAATCAGTGCCATCCTCCTTCACAATGCTCTATTCTAACAAACGTGGAAGCTGAAAATTACAGAAAACAACCTAAGTCCCATGCATACTCAATCTTATAAAATCTTACTCTTTTGTCACACGGTTGGATACATTTAGAAACTAAAGCAGAGCAGATAGTGTTGGAATCCCCACATCTAACATCCCTGACCTGCTCTCTTCTTCCTTGGAGCACCCTGCTACCTCTGAGGTTTATCATCCACACGTGTGTTCAGATTTCTCACACATGTGTTCCAAAGCTGAAGCTGGTGCTGCTCTGTATGCGTCCAGACTGAAAGAGTGTCAAGGTGTGCTTCCAAAGTTAAATATAAAGTCTCAGAATATTTTCAAACTCATTAAAACAGAAGAAGCAGAAAATTGTGTAAGATTGTCTAAGGATTCAAATTTTAAAATCTTAACAAAAAAGAGCCAAATTAAACAAACAAACAAACAAACAAACAGAAACAAATGGGAATATATCTATAGTCAACTTGTAGCCTAAGCAGAAATGGAGGCTCCCTCACTAAGGAATTTCTCCCCGCAATTGAGATAATGACATTTCTGGAAAGTGTTCATTAGGAAGGGATGTCAGCACTGGAAAACAGCAGAGGCCTTGCTGAACACAGGTTTCATTTCTTCCTGAGACAGGAGTTGTGGGCCTGGTCTGAGGCCTCACTTCAAAGTCTCTAGAGTTCAATTAAAACTGGATTAGGTAGAGGCAGACCCTTCTTTGGGACTTTCCGTTCACTGGAACTCTACATATCCTGACAGCACCCTAGACAGAGGTCTAGCCCTCCAATGAATCAGTTGCTATGGCAACCATATCATTACCATTGCTCGGCAGTTATGACCCTGAGTCTAGAAGAGCTTGAAAGCCTAAGCCCACAGCATTCTCTCTGAATTCTTATCACGTTAGTTTTATTATTGTTAGAGTGATTAGTAGTAAATTCAACTTCCAAAAATAATTTGTTCTAACAAAGTTGATTTACATATTAAATTTTAAAGTGGGTGTGTTAGAATAGCAAATCAGAATTTACACACAATATACAAATACATACTAAATTTTTCTTATTAAAAAATCAAGTCCAGCTTCTATGAGAGGATGTAATATTCTCCAAAAATGCATGTATCTTTTTCTACTCTACATATAATTTCCTATTATTACATACAAAAATTCTTTCATCATGCTGCAGTTATTCTTAGCTTTGAAGTAAAGCATTTACTTCTCCAAAAAGAATAAAAATAAAAACCCACAATTTTTTTTAGTGCAACTAGATGATACTCTATTTATACTTTCAAAGCAGATTTTAAATATCTAAAGCTATCCTTCTTTCACCATAGTAAAGGGGCAAAGAAAGAAAGGTTTTGTCACAAACAAAATACTCTCAGTAAAATATATATATTCTAGCATTCTTCTAGAAGGAAAAAATTTATGTGGGAAAATATTTTACCTAAAAAATAGAAAATAATTCCACCAAAGTCTGCATGTACAAGATCAAGAGGCAGAGCTCTATATAACTGGAATTAAGAAAAGCTATTTAAAAAACACACTATTAGTAAACCAGTCTAGCATAACCATTTTTTAAACACTTCTGAATTTCAGTAGTTTACTCATTCAGACAACCCCATACTGATTTCTGAAGAATTTGACAATAAGAACCATAAAAATCACATAATAAATAGCAAGAACAGTATTTGAAATTTTACAATATAACCATTTTTAAACCATATAGACATATTTACTGTCAAGAGAGATGTCTTAAATCTAGTGTTTAAACCATAAGCGAACCATGCCACCAAGTAACAATGGCACTCTGCCCAGCTGGAAGGTAAGGGCTGCCCGCTGTGCACATCCTAGAGCACAGGCTTAGCCCACTACAGCATGAGCGTGCAAGATATTCACGGAATCTTTAAAACAAAAGCACGTGCTCACAACTACTCTCCAATGAGGTCGCTAGGAAATATGCATGTGATACATCCTGTTCCTAACAAGTGCAGTATGAGAAAAGAAATTTAATCAATTACTTCAAAGTTAGATTAGTGATGGTTTTTATATTAGACTGCAGTTTCCTCTACAACAGTATCAGAATGAGCCTCCACTTTTCCAAATAATAGTAAATCCAAGCTGTTGTGAGGATTTCCTTGCTTATCAGCCGTATGATTTTTAGTGTTTTATATATAAGAATATATCCTTAAGCAAACTACAATTTTTTAGATAGTGGAGAATGCCGCTGCTCCTAGCGGAGCTTAAAATGGTGATTTTGTAGGACTATAATAAATACTTATGATTTTGTTATGGCGGACTATAATACTTAGAACGTCCCTAAGCTCCCCAAGCAAAACAGCAACAAAACAGAG